CAACTACTGGCCAAGATGGTTGTATTCGCGGCAGACAACAGCTTAGCGAGCGGTCTGGCTATGTTTATGCAGGCCTTCCGCCTTGTGGAGAATGCCGGACACGAAGCAGCTTACGATATCCTAAGATCCGGGGGCGGCCACCTGGTGAACCGGATCATCTCCAATACCGACGAAATGCTCGAATCCGAGTTGTATCAGTCGTTCCTGTTGTCAACGCCACGGTGGCTAGGAGAGTGGAGTCCAGCAGTCGAGTCAATGCTCTGGCTACATCATCCTTCGACACCCAGCACGGGTCCTGGACTTCATTTCGTCCAGAATCCTGCCGGTGCCATCAGATTCGTTGAAGCATCCCGGAGTCGACGGAATTTCCTTGTACAGCTCTGCTTGGGGACCGCCCGGCAGCTGATGGAACAAGAGAATTTCGCTGAAGCGCAGATTGTGATGCAGTTCACAAAAGATCACTTCGCTGATGTTGTTCTACCGAAAGAAGCAGTCACTGAGCAGCCAAAGGAAGAGTCGAGGAGAGCACGCAGGGAACAGGAAAACCTGCGGTTGTTGGATCGCCTGGTTCTGACTTGATCGATCTCTTCATTCCATCAATTGTAAATAGCCGCGACTGGTTCGCAGGTATTTTTGGGCGGGCAACCCGAAGATTCCATGATTACTTATGTTTGTGTATAGGCCTTATGGTAGTGCACCGGGGTCTGGTCTGGGCGTGCGGGGGAACGCCTACAACCCGTGTCATCACGCGAACTCACGATCATAATGATCTGCAAACATGCGAAGACATGATGTAATAAATCTCACGATCGGTTCATTTCCATGAGCTGATCTAAATAAGCCTCTGGTTGACTTTTGGTATCGCTAAAAACAAAATATCGAAATATGCCGTATCATCGTGATCTCATCGCCCCGCTCTATGCCTTGAGCTCACCACCGTCGGTCTCCTCTGGCCAGACATCGTAGCCGAAGGTGTCCTTCATGTTGACGAAACGAGTGTGTCGTCCATTGGCGACCTCCTCGACGGCGTCAAAGTCGGCCTTGCTCAACTCGGGAATAAGCCAGTTGCTCTCGATGCGCTTAGGGGTGGAGCTCTTGGGCAGAACAACGTAGCCGCGCTGGAGACCCCAAGCAAGTAAAACTTGCGCAAGGTCGTAACCGCTTCGCTCGGCAACTTCGTTGAGCTTGGGGTTGGTGCGGACCTTCTCGCCGGTGCTGGGGACCTGGTTCTGGGAGCCGAGCGGGGAGTAGGCGGCGACGAGAATGTCGTTTTCCTGGCAGTACTTGACGAGCTCGGTGTTGGGGAGGAAGGGGTGGACTTCGATCTGGTTGATCATGGGCTTGACCTTGGCGATGCTGAGCAGCTTCTTCAGGCCGGGGATAGTCCAGTTGGAAACTCCGATGGCCTTGGCCTTGCCCGAGTTGTAAATCTCCTCCATGGCGCGCCATGTTGGCTCCGGGTTCTCGGTGAGCTCCTTCTTGATGATGTATTTGCCGTCGGCGCCCAGCTTGGGCATGTGGTTGTCGTCACTCTCCGCGGCAATGGGCCAGTGGACGAGGAAGGCGTCGATGTAGTCGACGCCCAGGTTCTTCAGCGAAGACTCAAAACTCCACTTGACCTCCGCAGGCTCGTGCAGGTGGTTCCATACTTTTGTGACGATGAAAAGGTCCTCGCGCTTGACGTTGGTGTTTTCCTTGAGGAAGTCGCGGACGGCTTCGCCAACTTCGCCCTCGTTCTGGTAGAACCATGCGCAGTCGAGATGGCGGTAGCCGGTCTTAAGCGCGGTCATTACGGCGGCGTAGGTCTCGCCCGATGCGCCCTCGCTGGCGAAGGTGCCGAATCCGACGGCTGGCATGATGACGCCATTGGAAAGCTTGAATGTCTTCTCGTTCTGGAGGGGAGCCATGTTTGCGGTGTATGTGGTTCTTGAAGTTTGAAAATGTATCTTGAAAATGTAGAGTCAAGATGAAAGTGGTCAAGTAGGTTTTGAGATGATTTATTCAGCGGCAACAGCGCGTGCTGGGACTGTGAAGCTACATATATCCAGCGTAACCTTGGTTGGTCTGAAATCTCTTCGCTCTTTCATCATCGCCCATCTGCTCGGACAGCTCCCAACCACGCTGCCGGCCGTGACCTCAGACCGAGAGATTCCGATCGCAGAAGCATCTCGCAGGCATCGGTCCCATTGCGAAAAAACTCCATAATAGTCCCATCCAACAGTTTCACGTAGACCCTCAGAGTAGGCCGTCAGCAGCAGCGATGACGTCGACGGTGGACTCAGGGTCCACAGCACGGGCCGAGCGCTGCCATTTTGATTGCTGGCGCGGAAGTTTTGCCGACCTGAGCTTCGTACAGGTGAAAATGTGGAACGATGTAGTCCCAATAGTCGTGCGGCTCTGCCGTTGTCAGCCACTCGTTTAAGCAGATCACTAGCTGCCTTCGCCCTAATTCGGCGAGCCGCGGTTACCTCGCCCCACCCATCCTTCGTCACTCCCACATGCTGCTGCAAGTACCGCCGCGACTGTCTGCACGCTGCCTGCACCATCTACACTCTGCTACACTCGCTTCTACTGATTCCCACATGTCGCATACTTGGTGTATGCACGCCAACCGCAACTGACAGGCGGTGTACCGTGCCTTATCTTCCGGCCGCGCTCTGCCTCCGGTCAAATGAGGCTCTGCGCTAAGCTTCCACGGCTTCGGCCAAGGGTATACAACGCGCATTCCAGGTGTTGTGGCGACTCACAGCACTACGCTGCTATCGGTCCCCAGTTTTCGGCGATAATACGGCGGTGACGGTATCCAGTTCTCATTCTCTGGTTCAGCAAACTTCTCCACTAGTGCTGCTATGCACGGCCACTACAGCAGTGTAATGATGTCGCGCTGTGGGTACAGAGGTACTTGTTGAACGCTCACAGTGCCAGAACGTGGTTGGTGTCACCGGCCTGAATCGGGATAGCGAAAAGCTCCTGCGAAACCTTCCAGAAGAGATTGGCGAATGATGATGGCATCTGGGGTTCATGGACGTCGCTGCCTGTCAGTGTGACGAGTGATGTGATATATAGCCCCTCCCCCAAAAGACCCTGAGACTGCTCTTTCATCATCACAACTCCACATCTTCACCATCACATTCAGCTTCTGAGAAGACTGACATTACTACTTTCTTCACTTGATACCCCATTCTTATCCCAACTTCAACCACCATCATCATGTCTCCCTCCGCTGTTGAGAACGAGGCTCAGACCACCTCCAACAAGGCTCCTGAGCTTCCCATCCCAGCTGACCCTCAACAAGATGGCACCGACAACACTGTCGAGGTCCCAGCAACCCGAAGTGCCATGGCCGACACCACTGGCTACATGCACAACCTCTCCCTCTCGCCTTCCATGAAGGAGAGGAGAGGATCCCGCAACTCCTTCGGTACCTCACTGCCCATCCCCCGTTCCAAGAGGCAGTCGAGGCTCTCGTCCGTTCACTACCCCGATGGCCGTGGTGCCGCTGTCCGCCCTGGCATGCCCCCGATCCAGGCATCTCGCGACATCATCGCTGCCCAGCTTCAAGATCTCGCTGGCGAGAAGGTCCGCGCCGCCAAGGACATGGCTTTCGTCTTCGACATTGACGGTGTCCTCGTCCACGGTGACCGTCTGATCCCCGAGGGACAGCGCGTCCTCGAGATCCTGAACGGAGACAACGAACTCGGCATCAAGATCCCCCACATCTTCCTTACCAACGGTTCCGGTAAGCCCGAGCAGGCTCGTGTCGACCAGCTCTCCAAGATCCTCCACAACCCCATCTCGACCGAGCAGTTCATCCAGTCGCACACTCCCATGCGTGCTTTGGCCGAATACTACAAGACCGTCCTCGTTGTCGGTGGTGAGGGCTACAAGTGCCGTGAGGTTGCCGAGCAATACGGCTTCCAAGACATTGTCGTCCCCAACGACATCATCGCCTGGGACCCTACCATCGCCCCCTACCGTGTCTTCACCGACGAGGAGCGCAAGACTTCCCGTCCCCGCGACTTCAGCAAGGTCAACATTGAGGCCATCATGGTCTTCTCCGACAGCCGTGACTACGCCACCGACATCCAGATCATCATGGATCTCCTCCAGTCCGAGAACGGCAAGTTCGGAACCCGCGCCAAGGACCCCGTTTCCCAGCGCGTCCCCATCTACTTCTCCCAGGGCGACATGCTGTGCCCCACCGAGCACCCCTTCCCCCGCATGTCCCAGGGTGCCTTCCGCATTGGTCTCGAGGCCATGTACAAGTCGCTCACCGGCGTCGAACTCGAGCGTGTCGTCTACGGCAAGCCCGAACTGGCTACCTACAAGTACGCCGACGAGGTCATCGCCTCCTGGATGGAGACCATCCACAACGACGAGAAGCTGCCCGCCAACATCTACATGATTGGTGACAACCCTGCTTCCGACATTGTCGGTGGTAACATGTACGGCTGGAACACCTGCCTTGTCCGCACTGGTGTCTTCCAGGGCGGCGACAATGACGAGCAGAACCCTGCTTCCTTCGGTGTCTTCAAGAACGTCTTCGAGGCTGTCACCACCGCTATGAAGAAGGAGCTCGGTGAGGACTTCAAGTTCAAGTTTGACGATAAGATGAACCCTATTAACCTTGAGGGTGGCCAGTCTGCCATTGCTTAAGTGGTTTGATGGGACAAGAGTTGTTGTACATAAGCATTTTACTGGCGTTTTCCTCTTTTTTTTTCGGGATTATATCCTTGCATAGCGAAGCTTGCAAATCGCCTTTATAGATCAAACGAGTTTACTATACAACTGGGTCTACGGATTCTGGGTTTTCGGTTTTTTATATAGATTACGATGAATTCTAAAAGTCTTCTACCTCCTACACGATGCTTTCTATCATTTGCTCAGAATGTGAGGACTTTGCTTATTTACGGCATGAGATTTTGTCTACTACCTCTTGGTCGCTTGTTCTCAGCACTGAACTCATCGCTCTGCAACATCTGTCATACTCGAAGATAACACTACTCATCATCATCTTCATCCCCAAACCCCACCAACGCCCTCCTCAGCCTAACCTCTCTCCCTACCCCATCAACCTCCCACGTAGCCTTACATTCATACCGCCCCTCAAGCCTAACCCAAATATCCCTCAGTAGATACCTCGCAAGCGTCCTACTCTGATACAACACGAACTTCTCATTCGTAGGACTGATCCCATCATCTTCGTCCTCCACCTCTTTCTTCTGCGGACGAGGACTAGATAGGATAATCTTGCGGGGTGATATGTTGGGTTGGCTGGTTTCGGGTGATAGTTGGAGAAATGGGTCTTCAGTCCCAATAGGTACAAAAGTATCCCAAGCCGGTACGCCATCGACGATCGGTGTCGAGCCTGCTACAGGTGAAGCATAAGTGTCGTACCATAGTCCTGTTGCGCCGATCATGGCTTTGACGTAGAGGGTCCAGGAGAGAGAGAAGCCTAGGTTGCGGTAGGAGCCTGCCTGTTGTTTCTGTTAGTCTTGTACGTATTCTCGTGGTAGTTGGTCGTAGTTGTCACACTGTTTCGATGTGGATGTGTATAGGACAGACTTACGATGACGGTATTCCCCTTCCGCCTGATCACAAAGATACTCCCTGCTTTGTTCCTCTCTACTTCCCGTCTGTACACGAACTCCTCCACCCGCGGATCTAGGAACGCTTCTACACATTCTTTACCCGTGTGACTGAGGATCGTGGCAACGGCGTCGCTGAGACGCGGGTACGCGGTTCCGACCAGCGGGTCTTGAGTGTGGAAATACGCTTCCAGGTCGATGACGTGAGGAGCGCGGACGGATTCTCTGCTCTGATTGTGGTGGAAGTACTGGGAGCCGGGCAAGAAGACAGAGGTCATGACTTTGTCGCAAATGTCGCCGGCAGGGTTGGAGTAGTATGTGTTTTGCAGTTCTTCCAGTCTGTCTCGCAGGGCTTCTTCTTCGCGGAGGAGGGCTTCTGAAGCGCGTTTTGTTGGGGAGGAGGGGATGAAGGATGTCAGTGTGGCACTGAAGCGGGATAGAGTGCTGGTGTTTGTCGACTTTTCCGGACTGTGTTGGCTGGGTTCTTTGAAGGTCGCTTTGAAAGTGGAGGAGATGTGGCTGGCGTCCAACTCGGCCCATTCATCGTCGTCGGGTTCCCAGAGGGGTTTACCCTTGAATGGCGAGAGGTCGCGCATACTGGTAGGCATGGCGTTAGCGGTGTCGGGTTGGTGTGTGGGAGGTTGTGTGGGGAGGTGTGGGCTAGAAGAGAAATGCGAGTTGAGGGAGAGTGTCGAGCTACTTGGGGAGCTGTCGAAGTCTTCTTGAGCAAACAGTGGTGCGATTTCGGAGCCGTGCTTCGTTTGCGCCTCTCCGACGTCGAGATAAGATGATGGAGGCGGTGACTTTGCGGCTTGCTTTGGAATCTGATCCGCCCAACTGATTGTTCGAATGCGTCTTGAGGTAGGTCGTGGCGATGACATTTTCGGTGAACTCGGAGCGGTCTTGCTCATCTTGGAAGCCTTGTATTTCCGACGCTCAAACTCATGGCCTTTTGCACTGATGCTGTCTTCACTACGAGCGCGTAACAGCGCATTTCCTCCAGCGATTTTGGAAGGTGAGCCAGAGTGAAAGATTGATGTTAGCCCCGGAAGCATGTTCATAGAACTCCCCACCACACAGTACGAGGAGCCTGACGATGATAGATCGGTCGAGTCTACAGCTACTGACTGGTGGTCTTTAGCTCCATCTTCTTTACGGTCTGCCGTGTTACGACGTAACAAATAGCTGAAGAAGCCTCCACTTTGACTATTGCTCAGCGAACGCGGTAGAGTTGTCCTTGAAGATGATCTCGAAAAACCGAAGAGGCCTGATCCGAAGATGGACTTAGGTGAGCTTGGAGGAGGTGTCACCGATACTGACGATTGCGAACTTCCCGGTACCCTAACGCGTGGGTAATCTAGGTCTAAAGGCTTGGGTGGTATCATGCAAGCCTGTGCTGTTACGGGTGGGGATGGTACAGGTGTAATGGTCTTCGTGTGCTGTAACGTGGGTCGTACAGGAGCCTCCGGGCCTGACCTTGCGAGTAGATCACGTAGCCTTCCTGCTGCGTCGCTATCCTGCATGATGGCGATCAAAGAGTACGGAGATAGCCAGAAGCTGAGCAAGTTGGTTGTGTTGAGGGTGGAGCGTTTGCTGTATTCGTAGGGACAAGGGGAATGAGAAAGAGCAACAGTAAGAGTCAATGCTCGATTGGACCTCCGTCACAAGAGCGGCGGTAGGATGTAGAGGATTCACACTCGCTTCAACCATGTCTCTTGCGACTTCAGTGAATGGCCTCACATAAATGACAGTCAAGGCAGTAGGGCATCACAGCAAGCTAGTGCCGTTGCAGTGACGAGAGTATGCGAGACGGGAAGTGCTCTGGCGTTAACAATGAACATTACACAGCCGTGCGGATAGAGTTGCTCAACCTAATACCATGTAAGTATATGTTCGTAAAGCTGACAGATGATTCCATTAACGTCGTTCCGTGATGTCGCGTATCATCCAAAGTGGTTATCAGTTGAATCATAGCGAAAGCATGCGAATGGCTCGAGCGTCAGCAGGAACATAACCCGGCGAAACGCTCACAGGACGTGCCTAGAGCCAAGTCAGTCCTGATTCAACAACCCAAGCGTCCCTATGAAGTCCTAAAAACCGCCGTCACATATGTCACATCCATCCACGCGATGCTCGTTGGAAGTTGGTAGATTTTCGATTCATTCAGGGAGAGAACCCAGACTCTTGATATGTCGTCGTAATCGTAGGTCTCCACAGATCCATCATCTCCATCCCCCTCCTTCGCAGCGCTGCAAGAGCAACTACCACGCCATCATATTGTCCATACTCGTGAAGTCCGTATAGATGCCCATAGCTTTCGCAAAGAACTCCGGTAACCGAATAGAAAATGCCGCTTTCCCTTTTCCCCCGAGAGTTTGCTTGCGCTTATCGCAGACGCCTGGCCTCACGCTCGGACTCGAGCAGGCAGAGAATGTCGTTCTCGCGGACTGTGATGTCTCCGTTAGTATGCGGGGGTCTCGTTGAGCAGGCAGGTAGAGCGTGCGTACCTGGGCCCTTGACGTTGCGGATGATGGAACGGGTCTGGTCGTTCATGAACTCGACGCGGCATTGGGTGACACCACCACGGGAGCCTGTTATTATCCGTCAGCCTGCCATTCTCTCACGTTGTGCATCCCCCAACTGTTGTATGCGCTCGTCTCGCAGAAAAGTTCGGAGTCTTCGGAAAGTTCGCGTACCGGTTCGGCCAAGGACACGGGTGACCTTGACGAGGTTGACGGGGGCCTTAGCAGAGTCCATTTTGTGCGGTTGTGAAGTTCGACGGGAGTCGGTCGTTCGGTGTGCGGAAGAGCTGGGTTGGGCGTTCGGAGATGGAGTTGTCGCTGGCGATGCGTGAGAGCTGGTGCGAACCGTGGGCAATTTTGCAAAGTGCGCTAGCTAGGCGAGCAGGGGTGTGGCGCGCTAGTGCCCCGTCCATTCACTTGAGCGTGCCGGCAACACCACCATCAACACCCAGAGCATCACGACTTGAGTAATTCATTTACGATATTGGACAACTACGGAGGCTATGAAAGAGCTATGATTTGTGGTACGGCTCCCAAAGATTCGATCGTCGCAACACCAAGTGCCCACGCAATCATCACACACATCTCACAATGCACCAAGGACAGCAGTACTCAACGACAAATTTCATTCCATCTATCTAGTAAAGAAGCGCCAAATCGCTCAGAGGGGTATAAAGCGCCTTCCAACGCCTTGGGAAGTACCCGACCCTCCGTAGCTCTTCCAGCCATGCCCACCCACGTCCGAACTAGTCATACCGAGGATCGGCTTCCGTGTAAACAAGCTTGCAAAACCTCAAATCCATGAATGAAGGTGTGGAAGGATCTGAAGCAAGCCATCTCATCAGCTGTCACCTACATGGCCGCAAACCTTCTCCTCAGCGGCGGAGGCGTAAACTGCGAACCGGGCTTCCTCGTGGCCTTCACAACCTTCGTGACGGTATGCTTGATCGTGTCACAATCGACTTCGGTCTCGGTTGCAGTGGTAGTCGAAGTGAAGACGTTTGCAACCTTGGTAACAATGGAAGGCTCGGGGGCGACGGTGAAAGGCTGGGAGGTGACGATAGACGACTCATAAGCCGGACCATAGGTGAAAGGCTCAGGGGCCGCAGCACGGCGGCCGATCGGAGGAATCTGCCATATGTCATGGCAGTAGCCGAAGGAAGGGAGACATCCGGGGTTGCAGTGAGCGGCTGTGTCGCCGCAGTAGCCGTAGGGGCTGCAGCAGGGGCCTTTCGGAGAGCCGTTGCAGGTGAAGCCAGTTGTGCCGCCGCCTGTCAGAATGTGGTTAGTGATGTGTTCAGGATGAGGGAGGCGGGTGAAAGACTTACATTGACCATTTGGAGAGACGATCATGCCATTGGGAGCGGTGACAGGAGGCTGGACAACCCGTTCAGGAATGGCTTGGTGAACGGTATCACCAGTCTGTGGCTTCTTGCCGAAGAATGTCTGGACTCCTGGGCCATCGGTACCTGTGATTGATCATCAGCAACTGTCCGAAATGTTCAGATAGGCCAGTAAACTTACAAGTCTCGACAAAGATATCAGCACCAGCCCAGCACATGAGGCTTGGCTCATTCGCGAACCCGCCTGGGCTAAGATAAGTGTTCACACACTTCTCCTCATTGCAGTACGCAGTGGGGCAGGTTTTCTTGTTGGGTACTGGGTTGATGTAGAGTTTCACGCCACCTCGAATGAGTGCTAAGAATGCAGTCAGTCTACATGTCCTCTCTCCATCAAGGGGAAATACATACGACAATACCTCGGGTTTGCCGGCCCAGCGTTCAAGTCACAATCCACAGCACTCAGGTCATACCACATCTTCCCCTTGGATTCCTCAAGATTATACTCGACCTGAATGATACCTGCAGGCCCAGGGGTGTAGTAATCCAGATCCCTGATCTTCAACGAGAGACCGCCGCCGAATCTCTCCGTGTCGACCATGGGGTGAATGACGGAGCCGCCGTTGCCGGGTACCATGCTGCGGAAGGAGTCGCCGCCATCGATGTGCGAGGCTGGGGGGCCGACGGCCCAGAAGTAGATGTTGTACGGGCAGTGGTTGATGAATTTGACGTATTTGGCTGACGTCCCGAGGAAGGTGACGCTCAGGAGCGTCGCGAGGATGAAGAGGGTAAACTTCATGGTTGGGATGTCTCGTGGATGAGATAGGGTGGGATGAAATGAGTCAGGAGACTCTGAGAAGAGCAAATTGGGAGCAAATCCCAATAAGCTTGAGGATGAACGAGATGAGAACTTTACAGGACAGAGGAAAGGGACATGTGTGGTTTTATGGAAGAGCGATTCACCCTTATTTTCTGGCCATCTTCTTCGTTGGGCCCTTCTCAGGGTCTCATGGTAATGAAGGGGCGTTGGGGGAGCATCCATTACGGCTTCACGAAATGCTGGAGGTATGTTGATCGGGTTTCTCCGGAGGGGTAGGAACGAACACCACGTGTGTTCACTCTTGCTTGGGTATCGTATGAGGTCTCAGACACTTCGTGCTCGCAATCGAACAGACAGTTTCGAAGTTGACGACCTCATCTCTTCGCATGCTCTTCTGAGTATGGAATACAGTATATTCAATCTTATTCTCCTCACGCAGGCATAGAGCATGTTGCCGTCTGGGTGGTATTTTAGAAGTCGCAGTCGCGGAACAGACGCCGTTGTCGTTGGGACGATGTACTGGTAATGTGCGTTCAACAGGGCTCGCTGGTAGTCCCTGGTACCAAACTACAAAGGCCGCTTCAGCACAATGGGAAAGCCTCATACAAGGAGGAAAAGGATGAGTTATACTGCAGTCTACGTTAGCCTTAAATCGGGCGTTTGTACAATCCTAAGGGCAATGTAGACTTTTGGGACATTTTCTTCAAACCAACGCCATTTCAATTTTTTCGATGTCTTCCTATCTATTGGGTATCATGTGTTGCTGCCAAAGCAATTTGAGGTGGCATCTCATACAAGGAAGAAACTAGACAGGCCTGAAGCCTACATTAGGACGATAATGAGCAAAAGAGAAGTCCTAAGGTCAATGTAGACCTCGCGATATTTTTTCCCGTGAACGGAATGAGGAAAACGTGCTTGCAACACTGATAATCAAGCCCCAATTTCGTCAACTCCGTCGCAATGCCGTACCGTGTAAATGCATACTAGAACGAAAAGAATAAGACGGTGCAAAAATAATAATAATCAAGCTTGCGGAATCCTGGAGCGGTCGCCGCCCTTGGCGATCCATTCCTCCTTGATGAGCTTGTCCTGCTCCAAGTGCATGAGCTTGTAGGCTGTGCGAATCGTTCCGTCGCTGACCTCGACAGCCAAACCGATCTCCTTTGGCGATTTGGGCTGACCCATGAGGTGGGAGACGAGGTAGAGACAGGCGCCGGCGATAGAGAGAGGGGAGCGGCCGGCTGCGACTCCGTAGTGGGCGACCTGATCCGCGCACTCCTCTGCGACCATCTGGACTTGTGTTCCAAGGGCGAGTTTGGCGCAGGCACGGGGCATAAGACTCGCGGCGCTGGTAGCTGTGGTACCTCCTTTCTGGTTGAGAAGGTTGACAGTGTCGATGACGGCACCGTTTCCTGCAACTGACGGCCCGTTATTCTGGGACTTTTGTATAAAGGCCTCAAGCACCTTGAACGTACGGCCAACTTCCTTCTTGCTCACGTTGGTCATCTTGAAGATCTCGCGGAAACTGCGCTGCTGGTCGTGCTTTCTGCAGGCTATGAAGATGCACCCGGCGATGATAGCGTCTTGCGATTTACCCTTGAAGAGTTTTGCGTCGTCGGTCATCTTGAACAGCATCTTGGCCGTCTCCGCGGTCGGGCGGCTGATGTTCTGCGAATCGCAGAGCGCTGAGATCTGTCCATACGCAGCCTGCAGCGCCTTGTTGACCTTGTCGTGGTTGGTCTTGTTAAGCGCGCGGCTCAAGTCCCTAGACCTCATACCGCCGTCACCGAAACTGATCTCAGTCTGCAGCTGAGAGCCGTGTAGCAGGGGGTTCGCGGCGTCTCCGATACGAGAGGGGTCGTCGTTTCCTTGATCTAGATACAGGACGCAGTGTTAGCATGAGTGTCACTTGCATTTCCTCCAAGCAGGCAAGTACTTGCCGTCGTTGGAAAAGGTGCGCCACTCGGAACGCGTGTCTATAGTCCTCTCCGCAAGTACGCGACCGCAAGAACCGCAAATGGTGTCGCCAGCGCTGAACTCTTCGACCAGATTGGGAGGGTTTTCTTTGCAGTCGGGGCAGATCATGGCAACGTTCAGGTCTTCCTGCCACTCGTCTTCTTTCACGAGTGTGGGCGCGGCTTCATACACCTCGCCAGGCGACAGCAGACGGCCATCGGGGGCGTACGACATCTTCGAGCAGTTGCGGACGGGCTATAGAGTGTATTTCGTTATCTAGCTATTGCGCGCGGTCGACCGACACACTTGTAGACTGCGTCCGGGCTGGAGCAGGATGAGCGAGTGCGGTGGTATGAGACAGGCTGCGAGACTGAAGGAAAGTCTGCGACGACAAACTTGTAGTTCGGCGCGCAGGCAGCCATTGCTGGGCTTGGCACGCCGCTAAGCCGTTTCGGGTGGCGGCTCAAGCTGCGGCGGTCCACGGTTTTTCCCCAACATCGACCTTCACTGTAGCTCCCATTGCCAGCTTCCCCACGTCACGACACCTACACAATGATCGCGCAATCCATCAGGGCCTCGGTACGCTCCTACTGCTGGTGGAAATTGGACACGTACTGACCTGCCACAGCGCCAGGCGCTCGTCCGCGTTGCCCGGCAGCAACCTGCCTTTGTCGCTCGCCGCACTTTCATCACTCCCTCGGCCGTCCGATCAGGTGATTCATCCCGAATGCTTGAAGACGCGACAGTACTGACCCAATTGGTGCCTTAGCCGACCTAGTGCAGGACCTCTACCTCCGCGAGCTCAAGGCCTACAAGGTCCCCGAAGTCAAGGCATCCGACGCTGAGGCCCACGTCCAGAAGTTCACCGTCCCCAAGGCCCCCGCATCCCCCGAGGAGACCGACATTGCGAACGAGTTGAAGTCATACGAGACACAGGCAGTTGACGTTGAGGGCGCTCAGGGCGAGGACGACGCCGTGCTCCCGCAAGAGGACTGGTTCGAGGAGGAGGACGAGAGCATTACCACCGCCGGTGCCACCCATTAGAGGAGCGTTGCTGGGTGAGGGAGATCATGTATCAAAACACTAGCGATTGTGTCAATACCATTGAGCGATGAAGCCAACGGGAGCTCTGTTCGGGCATAGATGAATCACGTGATGTGACTATGACCTCGAGTTCAACGTGGGGGTACACGAGCAGATAAAGTTATGACTATCGATGCTAAGCTTAGTTGAGTGAGTGCTTTGGTTCGAAACCACGGTCTTTGTCTCAACAAGGTGAACTAAGCTGCTCGCGGATATGATTCTTTTTGACTCGTTGCGGACCGTGATCTACAAGTACATGAGACGTGGGAGTTCTACAGCTAGCCTCGTCAGGGTCTGGCATCCGTGCTCGTGCTGATGCTCTGGGAACTAGGAGGGGCTCGCAGCTGTTGAACTGTGTACTTTTTGTGCATGTGCATTGCTGTTTGAGAAGCAAGCATTCTGCCACTTGGCGTACGTTCAGGAGAGGGGTGCCCGAGGGGTTAGGGATTGAGGGATTTGTGGGGTGCCAGGATCGTCATGAGGTTCTGGCAGCAGCCCGATTGCTTTTACGTGCCAGGCTGTAACGAGAGACTGAATGTCGCATCTATGCCTACCTCAGAGGACATTCACATACGACGCGTCGCATTCTGACCGGCTTGATGCACGCTGTTCCGACAGGCATGCGCGGAATGATGATCGCTACACACATGCACACGCGACCGCAGCGACCGTGGCCCCTCAGATAAGCCCGGCTGCGCACTCAGCTATGCACTACACAGTAATCGTCAGGCTGGCATGTCCCGTTCCGACAATGCTCACGGTTCGGAACTTCGGACAAAGCACAGGATACGCGTGGGTCAGAAGGAGCCTCGCAATTGGAGTCTGCCCCAGTAGCTGCAGGCACGGTCGCCTATCGCACCATCTGCATCTGCGGCTTTGCATACCGACGTCCTAGTGCCATGCGTGCCATGGACTTTTTTCGGTTGAGAGGTTTACCCTGAGGCACTAGCACCTGTCCACAGTAGTCAACCGTACCGGTCTTATACTGCAGAGCAACAAGCAGTACGTCAAGATAAGTCATGAGAGTCGAGCCGTTATACGAGGCGGTACCAGGTAAGCTACTGGGGTCTGCGGTATGTCTAGGGACCGGCCAGGAGATTACGGCAGCGAGAGATTGCAGTGTTCACAGTTCACGTCGCGAAAAAACAAGTTGGTTCGCCGGGGGCCCACCGCGCAGCAGACGCATCTTGCCCCGACCGTGTCGCTGCATCAGATGCGCAGCACCGTCACACAGGCAGGCATGCCAGCTGCGACGATCCGAAAGGCGTCATGCTGGCGGTGGGTGGCGGGCTAGAGCTCGTACTGCTCCCAGCGTGGAAATGTAAAGAAACGGCGCGGCGCGGGTCAGTAGACGAAAGGCAAATGATACCAAGAATACGCCCGTTTTTAATATAGAATTATTATCGCTCCGACGCGATCTGCGCAGGCGACAACCCCTGCTAGCCCCAGTTCGTCCGCTTGCGAAAGCGTCAAAGTAATAGCCCTCAACCTGCCCCCAGCGGCGTCAGTGAGCGCGGAATCTCTAACCCAAGGCCTGCCAGTCGCTACTGAACTTACTGCCCGATCCTGTCGCAGCAGATTCCACTCGCTTTGCCCTCCCCCGCGTCCTCTGAGCGGCTGCCGTTGACTTCCGGTACCACAGCCTCGTTTGTGACGTCTTCGCGCGCCCGACTGGAGTATACTGCACCTTTGCCCGTTCACTGCCTGCTGCACAACGGCCCGCCTGACAGCACAACGCCGCAACCGTCCCAATTCACCGCCATGAGCCCGTAAACTTTCTGGAACACGTCGAACTCTACGAATCCCCGGCTGTTTCCTGCTGCCTCGCCCACGTCCAACCCACCCGTCGCCATGCCCATCGCCGTTGCTTCGGCTCCTCGCGGCCACTACTCCCTCGCGAATGCCATTCGAGGCAGGAGCAGAGCCGCCTCAGAGGTTGG